TAGGTGAATTACAACTTGGCTTAACTGCAATCTAGGGGGACTCATACCTGAGTGAGCCTTCTCAAACTTGAACTACAACTTTTACTACTTTGTGTTAGTTTAGACTAGTCATAATCTCACTACAGTTAAACCGCTAGATAACGAGAATTCACGGAGTAGTCATCACATCTAAGACCCGAGTTGACAATTAAGACTAAACCCGCTATACTACGCATTAGTAGGTGGTTGCATTTGGCCACTTCCTACTTCCTAGTGTGATGTCAAATGGTGTATTGTGTCAATTCATGTATTTGTGAGATTAAGTTGTTTTTTTACTTATATTGAACTAGAATACATGCATTAACTTTTTGAAGACCCCACCACAATCACTCAAAATTGAGGGATTATCAATCTCTACTTACTGTTGAGATTCTTCCCAATTACTCAAAGTTAACTTTTATGGCTTTACAACAAAATCAAAATCTAAACCTCCAAACAAGATATTTGCCTACTACATCAATTGATTCAATGCATCAAATGATAATACACTAATTGACTCAATACATCAATTTGAAGAATCACAACTTCCAAACGACCCCGTAATTACAAATATATAATAAAGCTCCCAAATTCACTATTACCTCTTTATTATGTGCATTACACTAAGGTTCGTAAGATATGTTGGTTTTTACAGAACAATTTCATCAATTTTGATCTTTTTTAACTTGACTTCATTATTATCCCACACGGTACGAAAGATTTTTGCAACAATATTCTGTAAAAGTTATGCAATTACAAACATCGCACAAAACTAGCACACCCTCTACCTGTTGCTTCACTTTCTAGCTTCGATGAACATGACCATTTACTGGCTTAGAGCAATTCTAACCAAAATACCAACATTTAGCACATAGCAGGAGCATATTACAGCACTCCATATCAACCCATAGGTTATTCATACCATTTGGCAATCCCTAACTTCGTCCCTCTTTTGGCAGGGAGATCCATACATAACGGCTTACCAACCGAGATTGCCATCCTGCCAAGACCTTCCTTATTCGTGAATTTAGCCGAAAGGTTTGAAATACGAACCCATACTGGAATCTTGGAGTTATCAAACGCAAGAGGTTGAATACCTGGAACCCACTTCCTCAAGAATATCATATAATACATGTGGTTCCAATGGCCACCTTCAAAAACCCACTAGCAAATAGTTATCGTCAAAAACTTGAACAGAACAAGCTTATCACCAAGTCAAGATACGCGTACTTCACCGCCTGTCCCTCGCCCAAAATAAGATAGAGGAGATTGATGAGGGGAAACCAAGGAATTGTCCAACTAAACTATTTTCCCAGCTTTTTGCACCTTCGTCAATCACCGATTTCAGAATCCGGAGAGCTCCATCAATAAACTCTTGCTCATAATAATCCAACCTACTATCTGAGACTAATGCCGAATATAGAGACACATAGGCAACCGCCACTGACGACTCCTGATGAGGCATCGTCAGCAGCGGCCGCCATAAGTTACAGTTACGAAAAATCTAACTCAGAGAAAGAGCTACGAGAGAGAATGTCCTAAGTTAATATAACAATGAGACCCATATATAAACTTGCTAACATATATCAAGGATGGAAATGACCTACATTTAATAGATTTTTTTAAACTTATTTATTCCCCTAAAATGGAAAACCCATCAACAATTAGTTAAAAATCAAATTTTAGATAAGATCAATGATATGATTCCGATTCATCAAAGAAAAATATGATTCCAATCGTATTACATTACATGACAAACTAGCTACCTAAGGTATTGAAATTATGAAGGTGAAACGAATACGTAGCAATCAAGAGAGGTTAACAACCTAACCATCAAAATTCAGACACAGTTGTGAACTGTGCGTCACAACTCCAAAGATAAAAGCTTATTGTTTGGAAGGAAACTTACGGCGATACTTGTGTGTTATCAGTTATGTCCTCAAAGTCTGGAGAGTAGAGGCCATTTGTTTGCTGGATGCTCTTATCAACACATCCCTCTATAATATATAACAGTACTTCAGGAGATTTTGAGCATTTCAAACAAGAGAGGTTAACAACCTAACCATCAAAACTCAAACACGGTTGTGAACTGTGCATCACAACTCCAAAGATAAAAATTGATTGTTTATGAACTGTGCATCCCTAACCAACTGGACTACAACAACGTTTATCTATTTTTTTTGAATTAAAGATAGAAAATACTAAAATATCTCAAAATCATAGGACTATCCACCGCAACAATCAATCATCGAATTAATTAATAATTGTAATTAGTTACAAAGTGAATCATCATGATATACCTTGCTTTATGAATCAACTAAGTGAGTTCTTCTAATCACACAATTTTTCACCAAGAATCAAATAGTACATTTTGAGTTTATATATGTCTTACAACTTTTCATTTATTAGGTTACATGACTTTGTAGTTTGTAGGAATACAAGGATTGTTTACAAAAGTGCTATACAAAAGTTTATTTTAAAACATAAAATTTTACATTTGTGATATGTGATATGTGGTTTTGTAACGAGACAATTTCAATGCTATAAGTGAATGACCAAAAATCATTGGCTAATAATTTCCTTAATGGTTGACAATTATAAGCATAGAATTGAAAGACTAAATACCATTGACAAATGGGCCAATTATCATTGGTTAAATTTAACAAACAATGGTATGTGTATATACATTGGAAATTCTATGGTACGCTCGTTGGATTGAGGATTATTGCATCTCCTTAGTTACATAACATTATCTAGACCATAGATTAATCATGTAACTAAACCCTATATCATAATTCTCTAAATCTTAATATAGTGCGTATGGTATATTGTATACATCTTGGCGAATCAGAATCATTGATTATGTTCTTAGTATATGTGATATTAGGGTTTAAGTTCTATAGATTTAGGGTATATGATTTAATTATTTGAAACTTAATCTCCCTTTTCAAATTTCCTGCAATGAGAGGGAAATTAGGAAGGACATTTTTGTCTTCACAATTATCTGTATTTTTTTATTTATTTACATAAAACGATAGACATATTGAGATTTGAACCATGGTCACTTCAAACAAAGTGAAGGGTTAAAATCAATCAGACTATGTAGATTTGTTGTATTTTTTTAAATTAAAAATATATACGAAGCTAAAATATGAAATCACAGAACTTTTCAACAGTTAGCTAGCCCAAAAAATATTCTGTAAGTACTCATTTGGTGTTTTGATACTTCGATTTTGATATTTTTTATTTTAATTATAGTTTAATACTTAGTTAAAAATTTATCTATCTTATAAATAGACGATAACCATAAATTTGCAACCAAAATATTGTTGGTTCGAATATTTCATATCGAATTATAGTATTGAATATGTAGAAGCGATATAGAATTCTTAAATTACCATTAATTTCCAGAACTATAGTGAAACAATCATATCTTTGTGCAAACTATAGGGGACTGGTTCTCTGAACCATTTTGTCCGGTTAAATACTAAGTTTTGAAACTCTTCTTCCTAGGGGTTTACGTGGGTCGGTTCGTTTGGGTTTAGATATTTTAATCACCTAACTCATATACCACGATTTTGAAAACACTAAATACAAACTCACCCAAATAATTTAGAATTTTAACGGTTTGTGTCCTCCATACCAAATGAACCAATTTACATGTCGCTTAACTAAGGAAGATCTCATTGTCCAATCCTATCATTCTAATGTCAATCCATAAAAGTAACTCATATTCGCGTTTGTTAACACATGTTTCACATTGTGATTACTGTGACCAGTAACTTCGCTGCAATTGATTCAGTATTGCTCATCATATGGCCTCCAAACTAATAAACATATCGGGCCAGCAGTTTTATGACAAAACTCAAAGTGAAGACAACTCATCGTCTGGTGGAATTTTGGCGCTTGCTGGTGTCCATTAATCTAATTGCAAGCATCATGATTGCTAAAATTAAGCTTTCACGCAACACACTGGGATTTGGGGGTGCGAACTTGGAGTAAAAGTTGATATTGATTTTGGGAAGGGAAGTGGTGAGAGGAAGAAATTGTGTTTGCATATTGATGGAATTGAAGATGAGTGTTGACCAAATACAAGGAAGAGGATTGAGGAGTTGGAGATCAAGCTTACAAGAAACTCAATTGAAAGAGAAATTCAGGTTCATGGAGAGAAGGTCCATCAAAGTAGCATAAATGGAGTTGCAGAAAGAGGATTAGAAATTGAATTTTGGTTTAAAAACATATACGTCGAGAGATTGAAGATGGAGGGGATAAAAAGTTGGTTGTACAACGGAGAGTGGAAACTATTGGATCTTTAGGTGTTATGGTTGTTGCAACTACCACAACCTATGTTTATGTTAAAACGAGGAATCATTGATTGATTTACTAAAGTTAAGGTCGATTCACTATTCAAACTACTGGAACCTGTAGAAAAGGAGTGTCGAATTTTGTGTCTCATTACTTTGATCGAGTCTATTAGTATATTGGATGTAACTCTAATTTTGTCATTTGCTCTCAAGTTTTGATGGTCTCCTGTTAGTTGAGTTGTTAGCATATGATTTACTTGAATCAACAACTCTTCATTTCTGTTTTTTTTATTAATCCATTTCTTTTTTATTAGTGGCATGTTATTCATAGAGGAGAGCTTTGAACCAATTATGTGGGATTGTGAGGTTTCATTTCAGTTTCAAACTATCTATGGATCGTGTGGGAATTCCAATGAGCTTTTATATTATATATTTCTGGATAATCTATTAACCAATATCATTTTAAATGGGGGCTCAATTATCATTATGAAAATCGAATTAATGATACATTTTTATATTCTTAAATGAGAAGTGTATTTCCCTGAATGTTCGACCTATATATTCATTCTTTATGTAGCATCTCGATTGAATGATTTTTAATAAACTTAAACGAATTAATAGACTTAAACATAACATAAAAATATAAATATTAGAATATGAACATAAATATAAATATTAGGATGAGTAACTGGAATCAACAGTAAATTCATGGTAATCTTTTATCCATTCTGCTATGTCAATGGACAGTCCTATTTCATGAACCATGAGACGCTCTGCTCCTTTGCATTCAAGCAAAATAACTGATGAGGCATCAGAAGTTACAGACTGCATTCCAGCAAGTAAGACATCAGCTACAAAACCACGGAACTCTGCAGGCACGTAACCAATGCAGTCAAGGAAAAACCTTGAAGCAACAGAAAGTGGAAAGTTCAGATCCTTCAATCCAGTCATGGCAATCGCTTGGTTAGTTGCATATCCCTGAACGTCCACACTATCTGATGCATCATTCAGGATGACACCAAATGCATCGCACGCATAGGATTTGAGAAGGGACAAAGGAACATGCTTCTCGCCACCGGTCAGTGAGAAGAAAGAAAGAAGTTCCACAGCAGTCTGGAGAGGAGATCCCTTAACAGCAGCTTCCAAGAATGCATCTGCTGTAGCAGAATGATGCAGTCTAATCACCTTTCCATCTTTTGTGACAAGACATATCAGTTCTCTGGTATTTACTTCATTGGCCAAAAATTCTTGGAGAGGGCCGAGAGATGGAGCAAACTTCAGGTCCCAGTGAGACCACAAATTTAAATCAGATAACATGGGAGCTTGAAGTAGAACGTCAACAGCAGCCTTGGATGTTACAGACAAAAGTGATGTCTCCTCACGGCCAGAGGTTGATAATCTGTCACTTTCATTGTGACCCAACTGATCACCAATATGATGTGTTCCCAACAATGTTGCAGAAAACAAGATGCTCTTGGATAAAGCGCTGCTCTTATGTTTCTCCACAATACCTAGAAAACGTTCACTAGAACAGTCTCCAGTAACATTGGCACTGAGTGACGGAAATTGCCTTGAAAGCATTGCAGTAATCATCTGTTTCGTAATGGTTTCATTCTCCCACAAATTAGTATAAGCTTGCGCAACTAACAGAATCAACTGATCCTGGAGAATGCGAACTTCCAGTGAAGGGCCTCCACATAGTTCACGAACCAAAAGATTCCGGAACTCAGCCGGTAAGAGGGATATATGGTTCTCCAAGAAAACAATGAACTCACCATGGCCGAGGGTGTCAAATTCTTTAATGCCAAACTGATCAACCAACCAACGCTCACAACAGCAAAGCTTTTGCAGAAGGATAAATATATTTTCCAAGTTCGACTTGCTGGTGTTCCAGAACTCGTGATCAAGCTCGCAGTAATTAGACATTTTTCCAACAATGTCTTGGACCGACACACCTGCTACAATACATTACTTAATTTTAGAAGATATCATTCATGCCAATCAAAGAAATGTCTGTAAAACAAAAAAATTCCTTTAAGAACCAGCCTTTGTTCATGTGGATTCTTATGTGAAATTACAACAATTAGTGATATGTTTGTTTCAATCAATTTAAAGCGTCCTAGACCTTGGATTGGATTTACCACCATCCCAATTAAATGATAACAGCCACATTTAAATCATTTCAACTTTACCAAAATACAGCCTGAGGGTAACACTTAGACGTGCTATACAGATTATATAACTTTTAGCTTCGTTTATTTTCTAAGTTCACTAGCTTTTAGCTGGGTTCTAGCATCTCTAAGTGCCACCACATATATAATGAGCTAATTTCCCTGACTTGAGCGAACAGATTTAGGGGTTGGAGCTAAGGAAGAGAGATGGGGGCAGGTGACGATGGGATAAAGAGCAAGACTCGTGACAGTTAAGTTAGCACTAACTTTTCATGGTTTGCTGATTCTGCTCAGACTTAACAAGTGCGTGATTTCCTTCTACTTCAACGTCAATACATATGTACTGTTCTTCTGCTTCAACATTAATGCTTTCATGTCCCTGCATTTCTGGTTGAGTAATTCCTAGAAAAGTGTCATAAATGCTATCCCACATTCCAAGTTTCATAGATGATATCTGCAAAATTATCAACTTTGCTTCACCAGGCAATACATCAAACAGTAAGTGACAAAAAAATTATATATTAGTAAAGTAACCAGACAAGCAACACCACTCTTGATGTGAGCATGTAACTATCAGTTTAAGAGGGCATAGTTCTTTTTTTCCATGTAACGGACGAAATCAAAATAATTAACCATAAGTAGGAAGACTGACATTAGTAGATACATTGGGAAAACTAGAACGGAGTGGGTCACCACCAGACAGCCAGCAAGAACAAAAAAAAAAAAAAAAAAAGCTGAAGCGAAAATTCCTTTCAGATCAGCAGTGTTGCGCAATTTAAACCACAACCACAAGAAATCAACAAAAAGACAAGGTACATGGCCATAAGGAGGTTCAGCACAATACTGCCCCGTACTACCGTGAGCAAGATGAATAACTGAAGATAGCCCATAGATAACACCAATATATGCAGTTGGAATTTAACTTACAGCAACATTCAACAATCCAATGAAAGGCTGAGACAAAATTGTCGACTTGACTTCTTTCCTGCAGTTTTCTGGAACATAGAACTCAAACATCTTTTCAAGAACCTAGAAGCACCAGAGAAAAGCCAAAAGTGCCAAGTTAAGCAATGTATCTCGCTTTGAAATGGAAGTTGGAAACTAAAATTTAATAGAGAGATCAGCACCCCATATCTCTAGAGTGTATAAAGCTTGCTAAATATTTATTTACAAAGCAGGCATCCTAATACGCGGGGAAAAAGAAAGCACAAGCTTCCATGAATAGAGAAGGAATAGTCATTTCACCATATCATATGTGGATATAACTAACAAAGTGAAACTACATAATTTAGAAGTTCCACATCTGTTTAGTGTTCTAATTTGAACCATAAATCAGCCCCATTACTGGCTGCCATAGTTTCTGTCTGTCCAGCTCCACTAAAATGGGCTCCTAGTCGCACCATTCATGTGGAGTTGTCTTGATATTCCACCCATGTAGTTCTTGTGAATGCTGCAAGGTCGTGACAGAGACAAGTGGCCCCAAATATGATACTTATGGAGAATATATAGATAATAGTCTACAGGGTAAGTGCACCTTTGATAGAAACGAAACCACACAAGGTAGCTGCCCCGAGTACAAGGCAACTTCATCAAACCAAACGTCTCATGTTTTTTCTCTCACATCTAGTGACACTGTCAGGCATGCTACAGTGGTTCCAACTTCCAAGTGGCCATATTAAATTCCGACACAGACCACAGAAAGTTTCAGAAACGGGAGAGCTTCTATTACAGATATCCAGCATCAACACAGCCAACACAGTAACGTTCTCACATCAGGTGAATGTTTTCGATGAACATACCTTGACTAAAGTGTGCTCCTTACAGTCCCCCTTCCATGTTGTAATGAAATTTTTCATGGAGCTATCAGATAATAGAGCAGAATCTTCATCCGGCGTACTAGAATCCGCAATATCGTTTTGTTTTACCTTGTCAACTTTACGAAATTTCGAAGGTGCGGACACAGTGCCTTTTTCCATCATGAGTTTTCTTTTATTTCCCAGCCCACTGTGTTTTCTCTCACCGTCATGAGAAGACAGGGGACCAGCATCATCTTTCAACCCCAGTCGCGACCTCTCTTCAGTTGCAGATGGATAAGGACAACTATTCTTACGAATGGAGCCACTGAAATTTTGTAGTGGTATCTTCATATCGGTATTGTGCCTATTTGGCGTCATTTCATCTTTACCTGAACCACTATCACTTTCTTCATCCTCGGAGCTTGATGAGCCAAAGCGAATGTGCTTCCCACGGAACAGATTTTGTGCAGATGAAAATGTTTCAATCCGCTGACATATAGAGGAAAAACGCTCATCCAAGTCTTTATGGTTGATAGGAGGAGGCTGCTTTCTACTTTTACTATCAAAGTTCCTTGCAAAATCTATTTTCCATCCCTTCAATGACTCGTCTTCAGACCTCTTGGCATCCCGGATAAAAGAGATATACATCCTATTGTCAACAAAAATTAGCATGATCAGCATCAAGCTACATTCAAGTTATGCCATGCCACAAAAAAAATGGATAAACCTTTAACTGCTGTCTCATGACACAAGGTTCTCCCGGTCGCAAAAAAGTTTCATCTAGTTTCTCTGGCAAAACTGTTTGTTTTCAAAATTAGCAGCATAACTTTGCAGGCTTCTTTAATATGCCCCTCGCTATGAGTTACTAGAGACATTGGACACTCTAGAACTCTTGAAAAGGGGTGATCAGAAGAAAACAACAACAAAGCGAAAAATATTGTGCATATGCTGCTACATTAATTGACCTTCCCATCTTGCAAAACACATGAACTCATCCTATCAGTTTATACCGCAGCCAAATGTCCTTCGTAACAATTTAATCTCAGTAAAAAAAGGGGTGGTTGGGCTGGTGGTATGTCGGAATGGATGGATTTTTAAGATGTATAGATTTTGGAAAGATAGATATATAACCTTCGTATGAATATTTTCTAAAAAGTGAGGAATTAAAAATCAGTCGTGCTATAAAATGTATAATGAACAATTGTGCGGAAAATGTGAAAAGATTGAGGACAATTTAACCCCTTTACTTGGAGGGAGAGAGGAAGATTGGAAAAAAGAAGAGAGAAAATAGTAAAGGGACACATGAAAAGGAAAATTTTATAAATACCAACCCCAAGTTCTGAATACGGACTCCAAGCTTTTCTTTTTCCACAATAGATCGCTTCTCAACGACGAAATCTAGAAATTCATCAATGTTAATTTGTTTCTTTCCATGGGAATGCATGAACTCATGAAGGTCAGCAATTATGTCCTCCCTAGTTATCTTGAACACTCCAGTGACATTAGAATTGACAGAAAAATAGTGCAAGACAAGAGGATGCTGCAACAGAGGGCCCAAATCAATATCTTCAAACTGCTCAACACCCTCATTCTGGCACAGTGCCACTTCTAGGTCGTACAATGATGTCACCCTCCAGACTGCAACAAAGCAATGGATGAATGCGCTTACCTGATAAGACGAAGAAAGGAAGTAAGAGACTTAATAGCAGAATGGAGATCTAGTGCATGGGGAAAAATGATATACTTGAGTTAGCATACTGTATACTGCAATTATAACAATTGAGGTTTGACTAACACATGCATGACAACTCAGCCCCTAGCAGATCAAAGTCTTAACTGCACAGACGTCAACCTCATATTCAGGGTGCATGCATAACAAAATTGGAGTCCAAATGACTCTGCAAATGCAGGATCAGGAGATTCCCATGAACTTTTCAATGATCTTTATCCCCAGATCTCAGGACAGTAACAGTCTCTTGCTCATGTAAAGGCATCCAAATCAAAACTTTTCATTTAGTGCCGAGCTCCGACCCCTGGTAACTTGCAAGCTTTATCTAACATCACATTCCAATTTTCAAGCGAACATAATCGAAATCCCAGCATTGTCTCTCAATGCCACCCCAATACCCGCAAAAAACCACACATGGCGTCTATCAGCAAGCTCTTGAAAGAAAAAAGGCCAAGAATAGTTTGTAATTACCTTCCCTTCAGTGAGAATAAGCCGGTTCAGAGACGGTATCTCCTGCATCCTGAACCCTAAAGATTGCCATGAATCAACCTGCAATGCCAGCAGTACATTCTGGGAAACCTTCCAGGACGTAACACTCTCCCCGGCAGCGATAAGGTCTTGCCTCGCCTTATCCGCTGCCCGGTCAATTTTCTCGAGAAACTTCTTCTTGCTTAGGTTATCATGTTTAATTGTAAAGGGCTGGGTTCTCTCAAAAGTGACCATTGGAGGTTTATTCATCGACGGCTGTTCCCTGGTTGAGTCTCCATGCCTCTGCTCGACTGAACCGCTGGGGTATGACGGCAGTGCCATTGACGGAAATGCTGCGGGCGAGTTATGGGGCTGCTGGGTAGCTGAGCTACTAGAGAGAGGCTGGTAAGGGAGCATACTCGGATGCTGAATGGGCAAACCAAAACTATGAGCCGGGAAATTAGGATTATGGGCTCGAAAATTAGGGTTTTGAGGGGGAGGAAGGACGCTCTGCTGGTGCTGGAGCTGGAAGTTCTGGTGAAGAGGATTGGTGATGCTTTGGAGATACATATTCTGCGAGTGCACGTTGAAATTAGGATCGATATTCATAGGAGGGCCTTGCAACGGCGGAAATCCTGGCGGCGGCGGAGGGCGTCGGCCGCCCGGCCGAAAGGGAGGACGGCGTCCGTTCATTGAGAAGGAAGAAGAAGCACCCGAAGTCGAAGACAGGGCCGACGAAGCCAAAAAGAGTTTCCGGACAAAAAATATCACGAGGTATTTATACCATGCTACGACCACAGGATGACGGCGCGAGTTTGTTGCCGTTTGGACTTGGAGAATGGGCATGGACGGCCTAAGTTCTGGTCCTTAGACTAACTCCAACTAGGGCTGGGCATGCGGGCGGATCATCCGCGGGTTTGGGCCGATCCACCCGCATTTGACCCGAATTTCGTTAAGTGGGTGGGTCTATGGGTGGGTGACGGGTTGCGCTGGGAGCCATCCGCCGGGTGGTGGGTGGATTGTGGGTGAGTGTGCGGGTGACCCGCTCAACCCAACAGCAAAAAAATCAAAGTCGTTGGCGCTAGAGAGAGGAGAGTGGAGACGTTAGATATAAACTCGGACTGGTCCTGGAGTTTGAACCTCAAAGCCAACCTTCCAAATAGAGATCCCCTCTTCTTCCCTTTACTTTTTCCTCTAATTCTTGTGCCTAGATCAACGCTCTTTCCTTTGTGGAATTATTTTCCTTAGTTCCTTGCACCTAATAATCGTCTCAATCTGTAGAAAACTCTTTCATAATAGAATTTCTATCCAATTTAAGAACTAATTCGACATTTTTCGCCCTATTTCAACTTCTGGTTTCCCTCGATGATTCTCTTCACCTATTATCATGTCAAGTTGACTCCTTTATATTATATAAATTGTGATGTGGGTGAACCCACAAACCCACCCGCATCATCCACCATCCGCCCGACCCAACCCGAGACTAAATGTGGGTGGGTGGTGGGTTAAAAATTATCAATCCGTTTAAGCGCGGGTGGGTGCATTTTATGGTCAAAATCCACCCGACCCACCCAATGCCCACCCCTAACTCCAACCCATAAAGGGGAATTTAGCTCCCCAAATGGCCAAATATGGCTTTTTAGCTCCCCAAACCCACTTTTCACTCCAACCCTATAAAAAGCTAAATTTAGCTTCCCATTTCCCTTTTTCAATTTATTTCAATAAACCATACTTATTTGACCTCTAATTTTTATATTTCACTTTAATTTTTTCATAGCTCGTTATTAGTTTTGAATACAAATTTTTCGATGTAATTTTTTTTAAATTCCGAGATAATTTTTTTTTTCAAAAATTAGCCGTTAAAATATTACCGTTAAAACTTCGGGACCACTCCAAATATGACCGTTTTTTGTATCCGTTACTTTACGACCGTTTTTTTGTCATTTTTTGCACCAAATGTCTTTATAAATGACAGTTCTTCATTTTCATCAACTCAACTAAAACTTCTTCCCATTTCTAAAACAAACACATTCATCATGAGTATCTCAGATAGCTCATCGTCTGGAGAAGAAGAAAACGAAGAGTACGAAAGGTTTCACCACCTACGTTTGAGTTTGATAGGTCGGAGGCTGGCTGAAGGTGCATCAAGTCGCCGTCAAACTACAAGCCGACGTTACATTGATCGTGAGAGGGTCGAATGTAATCGACGTCTTATGAGGGATTACTTCGATCCAAATCCAGTATACAATGCTCGCATATTCAGAAGGCGCTATCGGATGCAGCCAAGATTATTCCATCGCATTATGGGCGACATTGTGAGGTTTGACCCCTCATTTGCTCTAAGGCGTGATAGCTTTGGTCAATTGTCACTATCTCCAGAGCAGAAGCTTACTGGTGCGATGCGCATGCTAGCATATGGTTCTCCAGCTGATCAACTTGATGAGTATGTTCGTATGGGTGAGAGCACCTTGATGGAGGTTTTCAGAAAGTTTTGCAACAACATTATCAACATGTACGGGGCCACATACCTTCGCGCACCTACTCCTGCTGATTTAAGGATCTTACTCCGTAAAGCCTCAAGCCGTGGCTTTCCTGGAATGATTGGATCAATTGACTGCATGCATTGGGAATGGAGGAATTGTCCAAGTGGTTGGGCAGGACAATACACCGGCCACATGCATAGGCCAACAATCATTCTGGAGGCGGTGGCCTCCTACAACACATGGATATGGCATGCTTTCTTTGGGACACCTGGATCGAACAACGATATAAATGTTCTGGGGATGTCTCCAGTGTTTGATCGTATCGTCAATGGAAGCGCTCCACATGTACGGTTTGAGGTAAATGGTCATGCTTATGATCAATGTTATTATTTGGCTGACGGTATTTATCCCTCATGGTCGACTTTAGTGAAGACCTTCAGCAATCCAAGGTCAAACAAAGAGGCTTTGTTTGCTCAACATCAAGAAGCACACCGCAAAGATGTAGAGCGGGCATTTGGAATCCTCCAAACAAGATGGGCAATTGTTCGTGGCCCTGCAAGAGCTTGGGATGTTGTCACGCTTAACAATATAATGCTGACGTGCATTATATTACACAACATGATAATCGAGGATGAGCAGGTTGATTCTGATGACGAGATGGATGATGACCTTGATTATGAGGTCCATGCACAACCTGAACCAATCAACCGACACCAATCAACTCTAATTGATTACTTGGCTAGAAATAACAGGCTTCGCTCATCTACAACACATCATGCGCTTAGAAATGACTTGGTTGAGCATCTTTGGAATTTGCACGGCAATATCTAGCATTGTTTTACTTCGTGTTGCTTGGTTGTTTGTATTTCAAGTTTCAGTGTGTGATTGTATTTCATGTTGCTTGGTTTTTTGTATTTCAAGTTTTAGTGTGTGATTGTATTTCAAGTTTTAGTGTGTGATTGTATTTCATGTTCCCCCGCGCGCGTGCGCCCCAGGCGCGCGTCCGGCGCCCTCCTCCGCCAGCTGACATGCTGGCCACTTTATTGGCAGCCAAATTTGACTCCCACCCCAAAACCCAGCCAAATTTCACTCCCAAAAACCCAATACCCATTTATTGCTTCCCATTTTTTTGTGGGTTGGAGGGAGGAAAAAAGCCAAATATGGCTTTATAGCATTTTGAGTGGCTGGGTTGGAGCTAGTCTTAAGTCCTCTTTTTTAAGGAAGAACTTAAAGCCTTGTAATTGGCTAATTCAATATAAGGTAGTTAGTAGGAGTTATTAGTTAAAAAGTGGTTAGGGGTATTAAGGAGAATACAATTAAATTAAAACATGTCTATCTTTTTCAAAAACCCTAAGCCGACGGTATGTAGGTCTTGTTCGGGTCTGTTATTATTCCTCCGTCGTTCCAACTTCTCCGTCGTCCCAACTTCTCCGTCAAAGCACGAGTCTGTCGTCCCTTCTCCGTCCCTTCTGAGAAGCGAGTTCATCAGCCGTTGTTCCCGTTGTCCCTAAAGCACGAGTCGTCGTCCCTTCTCCCTCCCGCTCCGGTCGTTGTGGCTTTAATCTTCCAGACGCAATCATCTTGAAGACGCTCGTCCGGTCGAGTTCTCCGTCGTCGCTGTTGGAGAACGTTCGAGTTCGCCCTATCTCTCTCGTCTGGGCGAGTTCGCCCTCACTGACGATGGTCAATACCTTTTCCCAATCTGTTGAATTAACGTTGAAGAGTTTTAGCCCGACGTTATTAATGTTTCTTCAGCGGGTATTAACGTTTCAAAAATATAAATTATTAACTAGTAACGTGCTCTGTATTAACGTATTTTGTTGGTAAATTTTAATATTTAACACGGCGTTATTAATGTTTCTTCGGCGGGTATTAACGTTTTAAAAATATACATTATTAACTAGTAACGTGCTCCGTATTAACCTGTTTTGTTGATAAATTTTAATATTTAACACGGTGTTATTAATCTTTTTGTTGGTGGTCGAAATTGGTTTACTGATAAAGTTACTTATGAATTTAGGTGCACTGGTTCTTTAAACTTTCAAAGGGCTATGGTCAAAGTTGTGTTCATTTGTATCAATAAATTGATAATGACATTAGTAAAACTGATAATATCAAAATGCCTTAACAAATACAATTGACAATGAGAGTAGTATAACTCACAGGTATCCATTCATAATTTATATACACTCGTCAGTAATAGTATGAAGGTCATTATCAATATGTTTATATATTTTCATTATTAACGTACATACATTCTTTATTAATACTATCAGCTTCATTATCAATTTTACTAATCCCATTATCAATTATTTCTTGTACTTTTCATATCCCGCATTACAAAGATTGTTAAAACTAATAATGTGTGTTGAGGGTTTTTCACTAATACCGTTTATGATCAATTTATGTCGCCATGATTTGTAATCTTTTGAAGGGCTATGGTCAATATCTTTACCTGCTCAATAGTCAATGTTTGTCGTATAGTGATTGTTGTCAGATAGGCCTATTAATTATGTTAGGTTGTGCTATCAACTTTTTTATCGTCGTTTTGTAATTGTTTTATCAATTTATTGGTAATCGGTATTAATTCCCTGATATAGTTTATTATTAATTTAGTTCATAGTAATTTGTAATATTTGGAAGTGATGTTGTCAATAGTGCATGATTTGATAATGACCCGTCTTATTATTAAGCGTGTGCTAGTATTAATTTGTCAGCTGGATTTACGTATAATATTATCAATCTTAGTTTATTGTTAACATTTCTTCATCCATTGGTAATATTTTCAAAGTAATGTTCAATTTTTTACTACTGTGCCATTATTAGTCGATTGAATTAACGTGTAGTATTAACAATCTTTGTTCATTATTAGCGTTTTTTCAACATTAGTAATATTTTGAACGCCATTATCAATTTTTTTGTAGTGCTACACGATATACCAAAATCCAAGATCTGTAAAAACAAACTTGTTATCGGCCGGCTACATCCGTTGCTTGCCATCGAAAAGAAACGCGACAGAATTGTCAATGTGACGGAGGAGCCTGTGGATTGAGCAGCTGATTGATTGAGGTTTTCGAGACAATGTAACGGAGTTGTCAACATTTTCAACCTTACATATTAGTGATTTGGCTTACATTATTAACATTTTTTACAGACGCTACTATAGTTATCAATAAAAAAGGTGATTTAATGGTCGTGTTGTCAACATTGTTAACCTCCGCGACTCTATTATTAAT